AACTCATTTTTAGAAAAGAGTACGTTACTTTTCTGTTCTACCGCAAACAAACATCGACCCTAACTGCTGGAATGAGAACTTAACATCGCTTATAAAAATCACTTAACCAACCTGTGGTTTAGTACCCGAACTATGTTTGCTCCGATTTCTCATACCAGATGAGAATACTTAGGCACAAGACGACGAAGTCTTGGCGAGCATCCTTTTCCATTTTCTATACGTAGTTACCCGAACTACATTTGCTCTGATTTCTCATACCAGATGAGAATACGTAGGCACAAGACGGTGATGTCTTGGAGAGCAACCATCCCCCCATCACCCGTAGTTTTCTGAACTACGTTGACTCTGACTTTCCCATTGCACGAGGGAATACGTAGGCATAGGGCGATGATGTCCTATCAAGTCTCCTTTTTATTTTCCCTTTCCCGTTTCCATTTAGCAGTAGGTTTTAGATAACTCACCCTTTGATTAGAAAACAAGCATGGACCCCGTTAAGTACAACGGATGTAAGGGGGCTCATACATTCCCCTTGCGTAACCGATTCCCAAACCCAAGATTTGGTTGCGATGACCTTGTCTTCTCCTTTCTTTTAGGTTTTATTTGATTTTTTTCTTTCCCTCCTTTGGGATAAATAACGTTCGGTGGCGACTCTTCTGTTTGTTTCCTCCAACTGTTTTTTCGTAGTTATGAAAACTGGCGACTCTGCTGGGGAAGACATGTTCTCTATGCGATTTAATCCTAGCGCTTGTATGTTTTATTTCATTGGGTGTTTATATTTGTGCATATGTATGTTGTATATGTTGTACATTTACTGTTGTATATTATTGCATTTGCATTTTACTGTTGCATTTGATTATTGTTATCCTATTATGCTGTTATTGCTGTGCTGTTTGATGGGTTGTTCCATGAGAGATAAGCCCACAACCTAGGATGGAATGCACACTTAGGATTATAGTGGAGAGTAGTGGGGACTTGCGTGGCGTCTGGCTATGTAAAGTTCACACAAAATTCACGTCCGACTAGGTTTTCTTTGGGGATGCTCTATCTTCTACATTTTGTGCATATGATAGGGTGTTGACTTAGAAAGCTTATGACTTTGGAGACCATTCATTGGGGAGCCAATTGAGACCTCCTCGATTGATGATGATGGCAAACTAGAAATGGTGAATCTATCATTGTTTCTCGACCAGAGAGTCTATGATACTGATAACCTGTTAGGATTTCCATGTCGTCCAAGACTAGAACTCACATGTGAGAGGGGATGGGTCTTTGCAGGAAACCTTAACTTTAAACAACCCGGTTTTCTGATTTTCTCGTCAGTACAAACCTTTGATCTTGGGAATTCTGGTTTTCTATCACCACAATATTTTGATTTTTTGGGTTTCTTATTAGAGTGGAGTTCTGGTTCTACTCAGTCAACAACACAACAACTTATCTTGAGCTTTGGATACCTTGATCCCTTGTGTACATCTGTATAATCATTCTATATCTTAACATTGCATGTTTATGTACTTTCAGGTTCTTATCTCGCATTTGATTTCAGTTATCTGGTTTTTTATAGAGATGGAGGTTGACAGAAAGAAGATCATCGTATACAAGTTCCTGTCACCAGAGTTTGGGCCTCTTCTTGATCTGATTTCTATGGCCGATCCCAATATTCTTGAAGTCTTCAGAAGAGATTATGGGAGGATTCTGAGTTTCATTCGTAATGTCACATATTATGAGTACAGAGCCATTCACACATTGTTGTATTTCTATGACCCACCTTTGCGTTGTTTCACCTTCCCAGACTATTTGTTGGCCCCCACTTTAGAGGAGTATGCTCATATCTTAGGAATCCCTGTCTAGGATGGAACACCTTTCTTTTATTCTAAGGAAAACCCAAATTTTGACAAGTTTGCTGCTGCTCTTTATTTGAGCAAGTCTGTGATAGTGGATAACATTGTCAGCAAAGGAGGAGTCTCTGAATATACCTTGGCCTTCTTGGTGGAGAAAGCTCAGAAATATGCCAGTGAGGGTTGTTGGGTTTTTTCAGTGCCATATTGGCATTGTGTGTTTATGGTATTGTGTTATTCCCCAATGCGTTAGACTTTGTAGATATGAGTGTTGTTCTTCTCTTTGTATCGAAGAATCCTGTGCCAACGCTCTTAGGAGATCTATACCATTCTGTGCATTACAAGAATGAGAAGAGAAGAGGAAAGATAGTTTCTTGTTGTGCACCACTTTTCCACAAGTGGTTTATGGATCATCTTCCCTGTTCCGGAGCCTTCGTTGATTACAGGAATTCCTCAAAATGGTCAAAAAGACTGATGGGTTTAACTACCAAAGATATTGTCTGGTTTAACCGAGATCTGCTTGGAAAAGAGATCATTTTTAGTTGTGGTAGCTTCCCTAATGTACCTTTAATGGGAATGAAAGAGGGAATTAACTACAACCCTTCTCTCGCTATCAGACAATTTGTATATGCTTTGAGGGGACCACCAAAGGCCGAAGATGTTCAAGAGTCTTTGTACTTCCCTGGTATAGCTGACCCTGATATTCTGAAGAGAGTTATTGATGCATGGGGTAAAATTCATAAGAAGAGGGAGCTTTCCTTGGGTAAAGGTGATCGTAAAGCTTACGATCCATATGTGGAATGGATCCAAAAAAGGGTTGAGGAAGTACTATCACCTTTCTCTGTTGAAGAACCTTTGTATCCCTTGGTAATTGAGCAGACTACGGCAATTGATATCCTGAAGTACAACAAGCTTTGGGCATAGAGAGAAGAACTGCACAAAGAGAATAAGGAGTTGAAAAAGGAAACCAGTCAGCTGAAGCATGATCGGAGTGAAGATGCCTACACAAGGGAACAAAATCTCCAAGATACCTTATCAGCTTTTGAATAACTCAAGATTCAGGCAGAGTTGATAAAGCCTAGGCTTGAAGATGTCTTTAAAGATGATGCTTGGGAAGAGTATTGTCAGTGTCTGGGAGATGTAATATGTGGAAGAGACATCCTCATCCAGGAATTGATTGCATGACCAGAGCATCCTGACACGAAGAAGTTGCTCAAGGAAGCCCAGACTTGGTGCAAAGAGCACAGTGGTTGGGGAGGATTATCTTCAGTTGATGATGTGTCTCAGTAGTTTTTTTTCCTTTCTTGTATCTGATCATCACTAGACTTGTTGGATGAGATCATAGGCTTCTGTATTCAGTTATCTTTCTTATTTGTGGATTATATATACTGACTTATTATCCTCATCTTATTTATGAGCAGAGCTTTTGATTTTCTGTCTATCTCTACTGTTCGTTTATTTGTGAAACTAGAATCAAGGGGGAGATCTCCCTGAAATATATGAACATGTTTGCATTTTGCATTAGCATACTTATTTGCATGACAGGTGTTCTGGTTTTATTCTTATCTCTGCTTGGCTTTCTCTCATCAGCAGGATTGCGGAATCCGGTTTTCACAAGTATTCAACTCGGGGGAATCAACAGAGAGTCATGGATCAAGTGCAAACTGAGCTTTTGAAAGTCATGACTCGTATGACGCAATTTATGAAACTAATGCAAAACATAGCTCAAGGACATGAACAACTGAGAACTCTGATCCAAACTCTAATTGCACGTTTTGATGAAAAATGTATTTTACATGGAGGAGCTGGTGTTATTTTTTAACCTATTAGTGGCGCTGTTCCACAAGACAATTGTTAATCCTCCGGACGGAGGTCCTCCTAGTAGAGTTCATATAGGTTTTTAGTACATTCACTTATATTTTCTAAAATATAAATTCGGTTTGTATAAATTCATTAAATAATTATCCTAATTTAACACGATTGGAGTGCACATTAGTTAAAATATACCACCAAAAAACATTATGAGGAAAATATTTTACAAAATTATACTAACAAAATATGATGATGACCACAATGCATATAGCGATATGAAATGATATTATCTGACAAATTTAATTTTTAATATATACATTATAATTTAAACTTTGTTTTTGTCCGTTGATAAGCAAAGCTATCTTAGAATTAAAGATAATAATTATTACATTTCAAAGACGAATATACTGACAAGAAATAAAAGGGAGATTATCAATGAAGTGTTTGAACTTTTTCGTACCTCACTTGTCTTGATAACAAATGTATGGCCAATATTCAAAAGACACATGTGGTAATATGTATTATTCAATGATTAATCATCATGATAATTAATCATAATTATACATTCTAGAGAGAGATAGAGGTCTTACCCTTTGTTGTCACATGGATGAATTATGAATTGATGTTAATTACTTAATTAATTTGCTTCAATAAGTAGACAAAAAAAGTTGAAATATGTTTGGTTTTGAAATTGGTTTACATTTGGTAAAACTCTTTTTTATACATACTTAAGGTAAAACTTTTTTAACTCTAAAGCTAGCATAATTGATTAAAAAACAAAACTAACGCTAGCACAAAATTAGCAAAAGACAATAATATTTCATATCATGTAATGATGAATGCAAAAATGTTTTCAATCTAAGATGCTTTATTCAGAATTTTGAGGCTCAATTGTTTGGTTCTAAGAAAAAATGTGTCTTTGGCAATTCATGAAAATATTAAACCTATGAAAAGATTTCGCCCCATCCTCCTCTCTCAAGTTAGGTTTGGCAGTCAAGTTTTTCTAATATGAGTTGAGAATCAATATATGGATCTATTAGTTAGTTAATGTTGTTGTTAGGTTGTAAATATTTTTAGTTTGCTGAATTGGTTAGGCTTAACTTGCAAGGTATTGATTATAAATAGATTTTAATATCAGATTTTCCACTTGTTTTAGAGGGAGAGAGAGAGTTTGACCTCTCTCTAGAATTTATCATGATTTTTCTTCTTCCCTTTTTGTTTTAGGATTTGGGTGGTGCACCTTATCTCTCTAGATTCATTTGAATCTCTTCAAATCTCTTTTGTCTTTCACTTCTTCTCAAATAGATGCGCTAATATTTCTGCTCTGTTCTCAAGTTCGATTAAGCAAGCGATATGAATAAATGGAAAAACATTATATTATCAAAGGAGGAAGAAGAGGGGGTAATGACAGTGGTGGATGAGGTCAGTGGTAAAGAGAATTTTCAACGAATGTTAGCAGACAAGTTTTGGATTGATAAAAATTTCAACGCTCGAGCTTTCACGAACACAATGGTTAGAGCATGGAAACTTAAGAACCCATTGAAAACCCAGGAGCTGAGCAAAATATTTTCTTGTTTAGGTCCGCTGCCAAGAGAGATTTGGAATGTGTGCTGCGAAATGGTCCTTAGAGCATTGACAAGAACTTCTCCTAGATCGTGTATCAGGGGAAGAACAACCCTCAGATCTGAACATGCATTTTGGAGTCTTCTAGGTATGGATCTATGAGCTTCCTCTCATGCTTAGATCCAAAACAATGGCCATAAAGATATTAGGGATCTTAGGATCTTTTTAGGAGATAGATCAAAAGGAAGCTCATAGAAATGGACGTTTTCTTCGAATAAAGGTGACAATGAATCTCAAACAACCACTAAAAAGTGGAACGGTAGTGCGTTTCAAAGAGAAGAACATACACTTTCACTTTAAATATGAACGTCTTCTGTCTTTTTGCATTTCTTGTCGAATATTAGGACACCAGCTGAAGGATTGTGAAAATTTTGGTAACCTAAGTAAAGGGGGGGGGGGGTATAAAGACCTGGATGAACAAGATATTTTGTATGGGCTTTGGCTCAGGGCGTCCTTGTTGCCAAGCCTTTTCAATATCTCATAGAGCCAAAGTAGAATCGACACAAAAGGTAAGAAGAAAGAAGGATATGAGGTGGAGGTAGAAAAATAAGGGCAATGGTACTCTATTAGGCGAGGCCATGGTGTCATACCTCGAAAAATGAGAACGACCTCACGAAACGCAATCGCACACCCGTGGAATGGATTTAACAGAGTTGTCACTAATCTTTATTTATTTCCATAGAGGGAAAGGGTAAATATTGAATAAAACCTCTAAAAAAGGACAAGATATGGTCATCGCAATCAATATCTGAGTTCAGGAGTCAGTTACGCAAAGGAAATGTATTAGCACCCTCTCATGTTCGTTGTACTCAATGGAAACTGTTTAGTTAGGGTTGAATGGATGTTAACTTAAGGTTTGTTTCTAATCTTCTGCTTATAAAGTGGTAAAAGAGATAAGATAAAAAAAATTCTTACTTAATTAAAGGGAAAGACCTAAAAGATTTTTATTATTAGGGTGTTCGCTAAGACTTCGCATTATTGTGCCTACGCATCCTTACAAGGATGGAATCAGAGCAACCATAGTTCGGGTCAAAGTTTGTTGGTTGATTTTAGCAAAATCCAAATTATATTAATCAACGTAAGGACTTTATTTTACCCAAAACAAGTGAGGAGTGGGCATTTTCACTACACCGAATGGATTTACAAATCTCATTCATGCCACTTAACTCAACTTAATGGTTGTAGGCAAAACATTGCCCTAGTGTTTATTAGGATAACATCTTTCATTTGAAAAGAGTCTTTGATCTTATTAGATGTCTTGAAGTTTTGTTTTAAGAAAATACACTTGACGACAATCAAGGTTTACTCATAACTATATTAGGTGTTTTGGTCTCTTGATGATAATCAAGGTTTGGTCCATAAAAATGGAGATTAGATTATAGTTTTGATATATTTTAAGAATGGTGAACATTTGATGATAATCAATTGTTCAAAGAGTTTATGCTAGAGTGTTAAACTCTAACAATACTTTCATTCAAGATTGTTTAAGAAAATTATTTGTAGACCATGAACATTGGTAGTGATCAATGGTTCTAAGAGTTGTGGTAGAAATATAGACTCTAACATCTCTTGGTCCAAGTTATATATTAAGTATATTAAAGATGAAAGAAAGAAAAAATTGGCTATCTCAATATGCAAGACTTGAGACCAATCTTTCAAGGGTTTTGCTAGAATGCTAGACTCTAACAATCCTTTTCTTTCAAGTTTATTTCAAAAGAGTATTGATATACTTTAAAGTATTTTAGTGGTCCTTAATGAAGTAAGAAATTTTAAAAGGGCACTTTACAAAGAGCCAAAGTTGAAGAGGGTATTTGACAAAGGACCAAAATTTTGTTTAGGAAATTTTCAAATTGTATAAATGAAGTTTGGATTGAGATTTAAGGTTTGATAAAGTGATAGGGTTTGAGAAAGGGTTTGATGATTAAGGGTTATGACTATAACATTCATACTCCTACAAAGTCTACAAACCAAAGAAGTTACAACTTCTTCCCTAGGGTTAGGTTAAGAGGCAATGACTTGACAAAGTCATGGGAGCATTTGATGATAACAATCAATTAAATGTAACAAATCTTACAAGCTACATAGATGAGACATCATCTAAGGATGACTTGACAAATTCATGAGAACACAATCATGTTAAACAACCATAGAGGTAAACACATACATTCATGAGCGAGACATCATCAAGACTTAAGAGTACAATAACAATCATGGTTCCATTTACACTTAGGGTATAACATGCATTAATTTTATGTTCATCACAAGGTTTATCTCACAAGATCAAATCAAACTTGATAATCAAAGAGAAATTAAACATGCTTCTTAAACTATTAGGGCAAAGGATATCAACCGACATGCATATCATTCATCAAGATATTTTAGTTTAATCTAAACAAGATGATCAAAGTTCAATTATTTAACAACCTATTCACAAATGAACTATATGATTTAATCAAATATAAAGTTCACAAATTAATCAAAAGGAAAAAGATTCAACCAATATCTTTACAAATAAATCAAACAAAATATTTATTCAAAGTTTTTGTAAAAAAGTGTATGATTAATAAAATGAATAATTATCAATTCAAAATTTAGTTAACAATATAAATAATGATAATAAAAAAATTAAAAGTTATTGAACAAAATAAATAAAACAATTTAGAATTTATTTAACAAAATAATAATAATTTAACATTTATTTAACAAAATAAATAATAATTTAAAAATACAGTTAACAAAATAAATAAAACAAAATGGAATATAAATGATTTTGTTTTTTAATTAAATAAAAGAGAAAAGAAATCAAAATGAAATAAATAAAAGAAAAAGAAGAAAAAATGAAATTGAGAGGAAGAGAAAAGAGAGAAAAGGAAATACATTAAGGGGAGGGCACTGGGATCGAACTCAGGCCTCTACATCAACACACAAACACACTACCACCAAGCCAAGGCACGCGCCTTGTCAAGCAATTACAACCAACAAATAAAATATTAAACTTTCATTTTAAATTTGAAAAATGGCGCCGCCACCATTGTCATCTTCCCCACGAGCTTCATCATCATCATCATCATCATCATTTCAAAATACTATTTTCTTATTTTTCAACTAAATTGAACAAATTAAAATGCTAAGTTGCTCATAATTTTACCAGGAATTCAACCATGCTATTGAATTTCATTTAATTTAATCCTAGTCCAAGAAATCAATGAAAAACAAAAAAAACCCAATACTTCAATGTTAAATTAAATTCCATACATGCACAATCAATGGACAAGGGTTTAGGGGTTTCAATTGTTACATCATGGCAAGCATATTAGTAACAAGAATGAATCAAAATGATGCTTCTATCATAGAGTTCCAAAAATAAAAATTTACCTCAAAGTGGTGAAATCATGTTTTGCCTTAGAGCCCTTCCATAAGAAATGTGATGATTTCTACAGCTTCCTTGGACCTCAAGAGATGTGTTGATATGCTTAGCTTGCTTGGAAACCTTCTGGAACTCTCTACCCAAATCAACTTGCAAGTGAAGCAAAGTGAGAAATGACTATGGTGTTCTAGATATTATAGAAGTGTTCTAAGGGTGTGGAACACTTCTATAATACTTATTGAAGGTATTTGTGGTGTTAGAATAAAGTTGGGTTGAAGGGAATGGATAATCACAAGTTTTGGTTTTCATGACAAATTTGAAAATGTCAAAAATGGTGTGAAGTCATTCTGGTGTTCTCAGATGTTTTTGTGTGTCTTTGTAGATGAAACGTGACCTCTATTTATAATGGAGATTATCTGAAGAAAAGGCCATGGAAAATAGTATTGTTTGGAGGATTTTGAAGGAAAACCAAAAAAGTGGTTAAGAGGTACAAAAGTGGAATTTGCTTTTTGGCTCCTAGTTAACTTTGCTCCTTCATGATCTGAGCTTTGTACCAACTCTATTTAATGTTCAGATCATTTTGATGACTTTTTCAACAAGCTAACATGATTAAATCACCAAATCATGTATTAAACAAAATCTCCTCATATTAGCATATTGAACCAAGGTTTTATTCCCTTGAATGAAGATTAAAACTTGCTAAATTTTCCACCTACCTGAAGATCTCATGGCATGGAACAAGTTTCTAGTTGATCGTGATCTGAAAAGAAGCTTAAAAAGTGGCCTAAAGATCCCTCCAAATCATGCACAACAATCTGAGTTATATCTTGATGTAATTCTGGTTTGAAAAATTAGAATTGACATGACTACTTCTCAATTTTGTAACTTCATGCTCAAGCAAAAGAAATTCATGCTCTTGGTATCATTGGAAAGAAGATATCACATACTAAAACTTGGATGTTGATCACTTGAAGAGAATCAGTTTGCATCATTGAGAAAAATAACCATAAAAATTGAATTTTTCAACTATTTGACACTTAGAAGAAATCTAAGTATTTTACAATTTTCACAACTTTGAAATCTCAACTTTGATCAATCATAACTTCCAATCCTTGTGAGCGTTTGATCCAATTCTTCCACATTGTTGAAGTATGAAATGTCATATTTAAATATATCTCTTGGGCATGAAAAATGGTGGCTTGAATTGATCACAAAGTGGTCACGAAATCATGCACTTTGAAAACTCCAACTTTATGGTGAAAACACTTAAAAACTTTTCCAAGTGTTTTGGATTTTCAAACAACTTGAAAACTCCAACTTTGAACATCAATAACTTCCACTTCAAGAAAGATTTAGGCTTGTAATTTTATCAAATTGAATTATCAAATGCCACCTTTAAGAGGAGCGCTCATGTGTTTTCATTGAATGCTTGAGGAAGAAGTTATGATCTTGGAAAGTAGGTCATTTCTTCATGCATTTTCATAACTTAAAAAAAATTCCAAAACCCTATTTTTACAACTTTGATTCTTTTTCTTGATTAATCATGATCCAATTTGATAATTTTCTGTATTTTCATGATTATTGACTTGAGGAAATCATATTTGACAAAAAAAGTCAAAAGTCAAACTTTGACTTTGACTTTGTATTAGATGAAATCAAATTTTGCACTTGTCAATGAATCAAACTTCTTGAGCTAATTAGAACATTTGAGTGGACTCCAAAGGTGTATTTGAGG